ACCTTTGTAGGTAGTTTTTTTTTAATCTTATATTTAAAAAAAAACTTTTTTAATAGTGAGGGACATTTGAATTATGTTTTCGCCTTTAATTTAGGGATCCATCTTTACTCCCAGGATCACTGTCTCCTAGTAGACATATCCAGAGGGGCTGGTTGGCATTAGCTACCAAATCTAGGGGCACAAATGCCAAGCAGGGCGCAACTCCTACAGACATGGTAAGCTGCCAGAGGTCCATGTACACAAAATGTTAGTGTTGATTTAGTGTGCTTCTTTAAAGTTGCCTTATTCGAAAGTTAGCAGAATGGAATTTCTCGCTCGGGTTAGTTAAAATAGAGCACAGCCCAGTCTGTGCATCCAAATGTATGGTTGGTTCTTGGCTTCTGTCGGATGATCATCGTACCACTTCTGGATGATCGTCCCACCACACACCTTTCTTGGAGATCACAATCCTAATGTCCCACTGGATCAGCGTGTGAATGACTTCCTATGGGAAATAGGGCTTAACAGGTTATGGCCCCAGATACCATTCTTAATTCAGTTCAACTGCCTTCACCTGGAGTTGAACTGGTATCTTGTGATCTGACCTGTGGAGTGTTAACCACTTAGTAATATATTAATTAAAATAAACTTTAAAAAATTATATAACAAATTTTTTATATTTAGAAATCTTTATCAAAAAAATTTTCTAATGTAAATATTATAAAAGTTTATAATAAAGATTTGAATTTTTAATTTGGATTAGTATTTATTAATAATGAATAGGAAGATTGAAAAAAGTTTTTTGAATTTAAAGAAATTGAAAAAAAGATATTTGAAGAGATATTTAGTTTTGAGTTTTTGAATAACCTCTCTAATATTATTTTCAGATATGTTAAGTAGAAAAAAAAAAGTGAATTCTGAATTTAACAAATCAAAAAAAAGAAAAAAAAGAATATTTGAAAAAAAAAAGATTAAAGTAGGTAAATGAAATTTAAAAAAATAATAAAAAATCTTTTAAGTTCTCTAATTAAGTTTTTTAAATTTTTGAGGTTTTTTCTTTTCTAACTAAAAACAAATATGAAATCTCTATAAAAAGATCTTGAAAATAATTAAAAAAGTTTAAAAGTATAATAAAATATATATTTGATAAAAAATTAAATTTGTAAAAAAAATAAAGGAAACATGTAATATTTGTTGTAATATTTTTGTCAAAAATAAGAATTTTATAAGAAATTTTTATTTTTATCTGTGCATAAATTAAGTTTAAAAATAAGAAAAGCTCTGAAAGATTGTCTTAAAACATTTTTACTTTTTTGAAAAAGGTCATAATAATCTAATTTGTTATTTTTCTTGAAACAACAAAGATAGTTATATTTATATTTTATAATTTGTACTAGAAAATATAGATTGAGATTAAATATATTAATATATTTTAAGTATACAATAAAGAGATTAACATTTAGCAAGAGTTTTATTCTGGAGTGGACATCTTTATTAAGATCTATAACTTTGTATTTTTCTTTATAGATTCTTTGAAATCCACTACAGTAAGTATCCAAAATATTAGAGGCAATTATTTATGATCTATTAATGCTATCATAATTATTGCAAATTATATATATGTACATTATTCAAAATATTTTAATATTTTTAGGTCCCCCTTGAGTTGAAATACAGGCAAAAATATGATGTGGTATACTATCGACAAGATTATAACAATATTCGAGTGAAATTTTATGCCAAGCTTGTTTAATTAAACTATCTAATTCTGTAAGATTTTGTGGTTTTGGATTTGCTTTTCTCATGATGCTTTTAATCTTATACCAAATATTTTCGATCGGATTCAGGTCTGGGCTTTGGGGAGGCCAATCTATGACTTGAATTTCATTATCAGTAAAAAACTTGCTTGTTTTTTTAGTGGTATGCGATTTTGCGTTATCTTGTTGGAACCAGGGGTAATTATTATTCTGAATAGTAGAAAAATTTTCTAAAAATGGTATAAAATACTCACAAAGAATATTAATATAAGATATAACATTTACAGAACCTTGAATAAAAACAAGCGGCCCAACACCATACCATGAAAAACAACCCCATATCATTCGATTTTGGCTATATTTAACAGTACTTGTTATACATTTGATATTCCATTCTTCATATGGCTCACGCCATATACGACAATATGATTCAGATTGAAAAAGTGATATGGTAGATTTGTCTGACCATATAATATTGCGAAAATAGTTGGCAATCCAATCCTTACATTCAAGACATTAGTTAAAACGTTTTTCAAGATTGGTATTGGAAATAAATGGTTTTGGACGAGCAATTCGAGAATTCAGATTTTCTTTATGTAGAGCATGACGGATTGTGTGTTCCAAAACATTAAGATTGATTTGTGAATTAAAAATATCTGTTATTTTCAAAGCAGTAAGGTAACGGTTTTCAATAACAATATTTTTTAGGATTAAGTGGAATTGTGCATCAAGAATTAACGAGTGTCCAGTTCATACATCTGATTCAATTGATCCTTTTTCTAAAAATTTTTTTATTATATGACCAATGGTTGCTTTTGAACAACCAACTTTAGTTGCAATAGTATTATACGAGTGTTTTCCATGTAAAAAAATTATTGTGCTTCTTTGTTGAGATGTTAGATCTTTTTTTTTATCCATTTTTTAATATTAAAATGATTACTTTTAATTTTTTCTTATTAAATCAATACATATTTAATTACATATATAAATACTGTAAATAATATAATGATTTATAAATTAAACTTTCATGAAACTTCTTAGCCGATCATCTCTAATATTTTGGATACTCACTGTATTTAATTTTTTATATTCTTTTTAATAGTTTTTTTTGAGCTTGAATATTTTGTTAAAGTTAAAAAATTCTTCATCTCTCACTTTTATCTTAATGAAAATGGCTAGGTGACTAATTTGCTTTTGGATTGTTGGTTAAAATTCTAATATTTTGTTTCTTTATAGAATAGGCAACAAGCTATATAATGAAACAATCCTAATAAGTTTACTTTATAATTTAAGAAAAGCATAAACCTTTCTTATAATATTTTGTATGTATATAATTTTGTATCTCAATTTATTATTTTAATAAAGTTAAACAAGGCATATGACTATCCCCTTCAAAAAAAATTAAATTATCAAAAAATTCTAGCATATACTGTACATAATTATAATTAGGTGATGTTAGTTCTGTGCGGGCGATTTTGACAATCTTATCAAACACGTGATTTAATGGTTTATAATGATAATTTTTAACTGATTATCCAATAGAAGTTTTTGACATGGACCGTAAGTTTCTTTTCTATTTTATATTTTTTTAAAGAAAGTTGATTGATCTTCTTACTGGACCATTGTCTTTAGATCAGTTCAATTTTCCAAAAGAGGAGGAAAAGATCATTGAATTTTGGAGGGAAATAGATGCTTTCAATACTCAAATACGACTATCCAAAGATAGACCACCATATTCATTTTACGACGGCCCTCCGTTTGCCACTGGACTCCCGCATTATGGACATTTACTGGCAGGTACCATCAAGGTACATATATTTAAACTAGAGTTCGATGTTAATTAATGAACGTATTTCTATTGAGAAAAAAAAAAGGGTATTGTTCCATGGTACTTATTTTGAGATTCAAATGGTAGGATATTGTAACTCGTTACGCGACTCAGACTGGTCATTATGTTGAACGCCGATTTGGATGGGACTGTCACGGGCTTCCTGTTGAGTATGAAATTGACAAAAAATTGAACATCAAGGTTCATTAACAAGCTTTTTTTTTGTCTGATTTAAAATAATTAATAAATTATGTACTGATAAGTATGTATTTGCATCGTTACAGGGAAAAGATGATGTATTAGCATTAGGTATTGACAAATATAATGAAGATTGTAGAAATATTGTAATGCGATATTCAGGAGCATGGAGAGAAACAGTAGAACGCCTTGGTCGCTGGATTGATTTCGACAATGATTACAAAACGTTGAATACAACATTTATGGAGAGCGTTTGGTGGGTTTTTAAGCAGTTATACGAAAAAGAACAGGTATATCGAGGAGTGAGGATTATGCCTTTCTCGACAGCTTGTACTACACCTCTTTCAAACTTTGAAGCAGCGCAAAATTACAAGGATGTAAATGATCCTGCAAGTAAGAGTAATTATGTGTGATAACAATATTTTAGTACTTCTATTCACTCATAAATTTTTATTAAACTATAGTTGTAGTTTCATTTCCTTTGATTCATGATCCAGAAGTGTCGTTACTTGCATGGACTACGACACCATGGACATTACCTAGTAATTTGGCATTGTGCACACATCCTGATTTTGAGTATATTAAAATTAAGGATCAAATATCTGGAAATACATATATTTTATTAGAAAAATGTTTAAATATATTATACAAAGACCTTAAGAAAGCAAAATTTATCATAGAACAAAAGCTACTGGGTAAAGATATGAAAGGATGGGAGTATATACCTCTATTTGAATATTTTGTTCCTCAGGTAACAAAAAAATTTACAAATTTTCGTCTTCAAACACTTTTCTTAAATGTTTTTTATTTGTTTTTTGTAATAAACAGTTCAAAGGTAAAGGATTTATTGTCGTCAATGACACTTATGTCACTGATGATAGCGGTACTGGAATTGTCCACCAAGCTCCGGCGTTTGGTGAGGAAGATTACCGCGTATGCATTGCAAACAATATAATAACCGAGGATGGATTTCTTCCATGTCCTGTTAATGAGCAAGGACATTTTACTAATGAAGTTTCTGAATTTGCCGGAATTCACGTGAAGGTCTGTATGATTACAAATAAAATTAACTTTTATTTGCACAAATTAACCGATTCTCTTAATCAGGAAGCGGACAAGAATATCCAGAAATTTTTGAAACAAAAAAATCGATTGATTATCCAATCTCAAATGATGCATAGTTATCCTTTTTGTTGGCGGTGAGTAATTTAGGAAACGTACGTGTATGAATGCAAAAGAACTGTGCCAAGTAAATCGATTTCCATTTTCAGCTCGGACACCCCTTTAATTTACAAGGCAGTTCCATCCTGGTTCGTTCGAGTCAAGCCAATTATTGACAAATTATTGAAGAACAATCAAGAAAGTTATTGGTAAATGAATTTAAATATTATTTGTTAATTTCCTTTGCACTTTCAAGTTAACGTGTTTATACCGACTGTGAAATAAAGGGTTCCCGAATTTGTTAAAGAAAAGCGATTTACTAATTGGGTGATCAACGCACGTGATTGGAATATTTCGCGTAATCGATATTGGGGTACTCCTATACCTCTTTGGGCTAGTGAAGACTATGAAGAGGTAAATTTATTAAATATTTTCTAATTATACATTTATAGCATGTTCATGAATCTAAATCAGCATTTTTTTATATGTGTGCCTTGAAAAAGATTATTTGTATAGGTTCTTTGGCGGAATTAGAGGAACTATCTGGTTGTGGAAATTTAACAGATATTCATCGTGATAAGATTGATCACATCACAATTCCTTCAAAGAAGGGTAAAGGTGTTCTGAAAAGGGTCGAGGAAGTATTCGATTGTTGGTTTGAGTCGGGCAGGTACGATTTATGATATTTTAGATTTGTATATATCATATTATACCTATTGAAGTCTCACTTTTCGTGAAATTGTAGTATGCCTTATGCTCAATGTCATTACCCTTTTGAAAACAAAGAAAAGTTTGAAAGTTCCTTTCCCGCGGATTTCATTGCCGAAGGATTGGATCAGACTCGCGGATGGTTCTATACCTTAATGGTATTGTCTACACACCTTTTTGACAAGCCAGCATTTAAGAACTTAATTGTTAATGGTTTGGTATTGGCCTCGTAAGTTATCAAGTAAATTGCCTAAATAAAAGAATTTATAATTCATTCATACCAAATAAATAAATTATATTTAAATGCAGAGATGGAAAAAAAATGAGCAAACGTCTAAAGAATTATCCTGAACCGATGACTATTATTAATGCATATGGTGCTGACGCCCTTAGGTATGTGCTCAAATATGTACTTACATATCTCCGTGTCTTTTTACGAGAAATGGGTATTTTGTAGATTGTATCTTATCAATTCGCCGGTTGTTCGTGCGGAGCCACTGAGGTTCAAAGAAGAAGGCGTTAAAGAAGTTATATCAAAGGTTTTCTTGCCTTGGTATAATGCATATCGTTTTTTCGCGTCTCAAGTGATTCTTCTCAAGAAGGTTATTGGCTATTCTTTGCAATAAAGTTATCATTTTGTTGTATATTAATCATTTTGTACATTATTCAGGAAACCGGTATAGACTTTAAATATAACCCTAGCCTAACAAAATCCTCAAATGTTATGGACAGATGGATATTGGCTTGTACTCAGAGCCTTATTAAATTTGTGCGTGGCGAAATGGAAGGTATACATTTAATTTATGCAACGAGAATCATGTTAAAATTTCTTCTATTTACAGTTAAATTAACATCTTTAAAGCATACCGACTTTATACTGTTGTTCCAAGATTGTTAGATCTTATAGAACAATTGACCAATTGGTATGTCAGATTTAACCGTAAGCGTTTGAAAGGTGAAAATGGCCCAGAAGACACAGTGTGTGCTTTGAACACTCTTTTTGAGGTCCTTTATACCCTATGCCGTGCTATGGTAAAACGCCTGTGGATTATTATATTTAATTCTCAAATTTTTTTAATTAATATTCCCTTTGATATATAATAAGGCCTCATTTACGCCCTTCCTTACTGAGCATATATACCAAAACCTGAAAAAGTTTATTCCCTCATTTGATTCTACTGAGGATGTTCGTTCTGTTCATTTTTTATATTTTCCGGAGGTAAAAGAAGAATATTTCGATTCAGAAATTGAACGTAGTATGTCAAGGATGCAGGCAGTCATCGATTTGGGTCGCTTTATTCGCGAGAAAAATAACATCGGGCTTAAGGTTATTAATTAATGCTACTTTAATGTTATTAATTTAAGTATTTAATAATATCTATTTATTTATTATGCTATTCATTAACACCAGACACCTTTAAAAGAACTTGTCGTTTTACATTCTAACTCACAATACCATTCGGACATTCTTTCTCTTCAAAATTATATTATTGAGGTTTGAGTTGAAATATAATATATATATTCTTTTCAACTATAACATGTATAAAATACTTATAATCTATGTTATAATTTTTTTCTTTTAGGAACTTAATATTAAAAATCTCATAGTCACAGCCGAAGAAGATAATTATGGAATCAAATATCGAGCGGAGGCTGACTGGAAAATTTTGGGTCAAAAACTTAAGAAAGATCTTGTAAAGGTTAAGAAGGCGTTGCCAACATTGTCATCGGATCAAGTTAAAGAATTCCTTAGTACGAAAGAAATGTTAATCGACAGCATTAAGGTGGTCGAAGAAGATCTTCAGGTGATCAGATATCACGAGAAGGTCGATAGTCATTACGAAACACACACAGACAAAGATGTCTTTATACTTTTGGATGTTAAAGTTTATCAAGAATTACAAGATGAAGGGTTGGCACGCGAAGTTGTGAACCGTGTGCAAAGACTTAGAAAGAAGGCAGGTCTCGTTTCTTGAGTTTGTCTATATTAATTATTATTAAATATTGTTTTATTATTTTTCAGGCTGGATTACAGGCCACGGATCCTGTCTTGACGTATTATTCATTTATTAAAGATGTAAATAATCAAATTGAGAGAGTACTTCAGACACAGTCGGATGTTATTGTAAAAATTCTGAAACGCTCATTATTACCGATTTCCGAAAAAGCAGAAAGTGGCGAGATTATTATTGAAGAAGAACAAGAGGTAAGCTAGTTTAAATTTTCAATATGTTACCTGCTTTATTTCAGATAGCTTAAATTTAATGCATCTTTCTTTATCTTTTATATTAACCATTTCATTGAAGGTTAATGGATCTTTTTTCCTTCTGTGTTTTGTCAAAGATTGGTAAAATATATGATCTAAATAAATTATATTGAGAGTCGCTTATTAACATTGAAGGATTCTAAGTATGCACCATTTTGTAAAAAGTATTTATATTTAATAAAGTAATGTCCGTAAAAATTAAATGATGTATTCTAAATATCTTACATGTCGATTTACTAAGTTTTAAATATTATTGAAAGAGAAATAATTAAATAGAAATAGAAAAAAAAGTAATATGTTTTTTTTAAATTTCTAATCAGGCTGTATGCTGTGATAGTTTATTATTAATTTTAAGAATACAATAATATTATATTACTATAAAATAGAAATAATATACTATGGTCAAATTGATTATTGCTATACAACATATCCATCAATGAGTCTTATAAATTTGTACATGATCCTTGAATTCTTAATATCAAGATTACCATGTCACCCACATGATTAAGTTATTTATTAACTAACTATATTACTACAATAAAGCTATTATACATTAATTATATTAATTATCTTAAACCTTCAAATCCTAACTTTTTAGATATAATTATAAGAAATAAAAATATTAGTCTAATTAAAAAATCAGCATTAGTTGATATTTTAAATTATTATATTAATATTATCTTTGTAATTTTATGAAGTAAAAAAGAATTTTTTTTTTATATATTTATAAATAAAAACTTTTTTGAATTAATCTTTAGTTAAACCATTTGTAATTAGAAAATTTATTTAATTTTTGTTACTTCACTATTGATTAAGAATATTCAAAATATACTTATAATAAGATTTATATTTATAATCTTATAATAGTAACTTTTGTTATTATAAAAATTGGTTGAAATCTTCTTGAAATAATCAACAATAAAAAAACTTTTTACTAAATTAAAATAAAAACTTTTAATCTTAAAAAAATAAATTAATATATAATATAAAAAAAAAGTATTATAGTATTTCTTGACAAAATAAATATTTTATTATATATATTTTTTATAATTAATAATATTATTAAATTCGCTATTATGAAGCCGTTTCACACGCTGATCCAGCGGGCGTTGAGATTGTGTTCTCCAGTTAAGGTGTCGTGGCACGTCGATCGTCCGGTTAGTGTTACGATGATCGTACTACGTTTGGTGCATTTCCGCTTCCCACAGGTCGCTTCCCTCTTCTATAGTCCACGAGACTATAAAAAGAATCCTTCGTGAACAGGTTTCAACGGGTTCCCTGCTCATGTCGTACCCAATC